TATAAATTAAGTATCTTGGGAAGAAGCATCTGACTTTTCTCCAGGGCATCTTGTTGACTAGATACCATTGAAATTTTTGGGGTTCCTGGGAAAGGGCTACTTAGCATTTTGCATTCTGAATAAGATCCAGCATTCCTTGTTTATCCAATCCTTGTATGAAGTATTATCTAGTATCAAACTTTCTCCCATCCATACAGTTTTAATTTCCCTCTTTTTAAAAAATTTCTATGCTTCAGTGCCCTGCAACCTTATGCCTGACTCAGAAGATTTTTTAAAAAATTAAAACAAATATTTGGGAGTAGTGTTTCACACCTTTTACCCCAGTGTTTGGGAGGCATATGCAGGTGTGTTTCTGTGAACTCAAGTCCAGCCTGGTCTTCAGAAAGAGTTCCAAGAAAGCCAGAGACAGGTGAATCTCTGTGAGCTCAAGGTCAGCCTGGTTTATAGAGAGAGTTCCAGGACAGCCAGAACTACATAAAAAGACCTACCTGGTCTCAAAAAACAAAACAAAAATATTTTAAATAATAAATATTTCTGTATGATACACTGAGTTTATTTCAAAGTCAATATATTTTATTCACTTCACTAAGTCTTCTCAGAGACGATGCTGCGCATGCTAAACATAAATTAGTGAATGGGATGATGTATCAATGGGGCCTCAAAATTAAAAAGGAAAAAGCAGGCTAAGACTCTTTACTTATAAATGCAGTGAATCTATTTATTTCCTCTTACCTTTATCTATTTTACCTGTTTTTAGTGATGGGAATTTAACCCTGGGCCTCAGCATGTGAGCCACACCCCTGAACCCTGATCCATACATTTTATCTGCTAGAGCGAAAGGAAGCCCATGGTAAATGCTCAGTGATTAGATATGTATGGTGAATAAACAAATGTTTGTTGAAAGAATCCAGGGAAAGAACATCTGTCTATTTCAGTACGGAAAACAGCTCAGGAGAAACACAGCTATGGAAACACTGCCCTCCTTTGCCTCAGAAGTAGGGCAAAAATAAGGCCGTTCTTGCCACATGACACTTGTCTTAGCCTGCTGCTGAAATCACTTGCGCAAAGCCAGTGCTTCACTCTCTGCCAGGCAGAAGGTCAGCCCAAGAATGAGCTGATCTGTGGGCGCATCACCATCTCTCACCCAGGAGGCCGCTCTATTATTTCAATGAGGATGACAGGTGGGGAAATCTGGGCACCAGTTGTTCTTTTCCACTGGTAGCATTTGAGAGGTAGCTCCAAAGTCGGGCATGCTGGCCTACGTGCTTCTCCTGCTGCAAAGGCTCTAGCACATGGCTCTGTCCTGTGGCCAAGTTCAGGACTCAGAGACTGTCCCAGAGCACATAGCACAAAGGACTACTGAGTTCTGTTCTTCAACTCATCGTGGCTTGGTTGGCTGAGGTCCTAAATCCTAATCATCACTATTTGAGTTTGTTACATATGGCTTAAAATTAAAGACAAATGAATTAATTTAATTTCAAGAAAATGCGAGGAGCTCCTATAAAGCTGAAATGTCCTAGCATGCCAGAAAGCAAGCGATCCTGTGGTGGTGTGGGTTTTCTTAATTGGCCATGCTCCTCTGTGTAAGTCGCGGCTCACACTGCAGACCCTGCTCTGTTACACCATGGCTGGGCTCAGTTGTTCTCCATTCTCGAGCTTTATTGTCATAAACTGCTCTTCAGCACAGCACTGCGGGCTCATGCAGTTTGTACAGTTAAAGCAAAAGCAAAATGCAACAGAAGTCTCAGCCTCTGGTGCGGTAGAGGCCTGCAATTTCAGGGTGCCTTGAGAGCTCAAGACGTCTACACCCTAAGAATCTGTACCAAAACAAACAAACAATTGTGGAGCTGGAGAGATGCCTCAGTGCTTAAGAGCACTTGTGTTTGCAGAGGACCTGGGTTCCATTCTCAGTATCCACGTCTCATGGCTCTCAAGCATAAATAACTTCTAAAGCATTTGATCATATCTTCTGATCTTCTCCAGCACCAGGCATGCACTTAATACACACACACACACACACAAACACACACACACACACACACACACACATATATATATATATATATTGTAAGCAAAATACTCATATACATAAAAGAAACTGAAAATAAGTAAGTCTAAAAGACTAGTACTGCCAATAATAATAAAACCAAATGCCAGGGTTGTGCTATAAAGATCTTACCTGTACGTTTTGAAGATTTTATGAATTCTTTATTATCATAGTTTGCAATGCTATTTCAGTGTAAATAGAAAGCTGAATGAAAATGTCATGACTTGTATGACTGCACTGAAAGCAAAAATCTTAAAACTACAGGTAAAGTCACATGTCCTTTGTTATTTTTCTGTCATGTTTTTTATTTTCTATTTTATGTGTGTGGGTGTTTTGCCTGCATGTATGCCTGTGCACCATTTGTGGGCCTGGTGCCCATGGAGGCCAGAAGAGGGCATCAGATTCACCGATACTGGAGTTACAGAAGGTCGTGAGCTCTCTTGTGGGTGCTCGCAAAGGAACCTGGGTTCTCTGGAAGAACAGCCAGTGTGCCTAACTCCTGAGCCCTTACTCCAGTCTTCTTTGTCCTTTATAACTACTTTGGTGATCAGTTTATCATCTCAAGAGAACAAACCAGTTCACAGGATTGAGGATATATGCTTCAGTTAATAGAGTATCCGCTGCTCAAACATGAGGTCCCCAGCGAGTGTAGACCCCCAACACCCATCTAAAAACTCATGTCTATACCCTAAGAAAGGTAATTCCCTGATGTCAGCACTGAAAGAGTAAGTAAACACGAGCCCACATCTCTAACCCAAAAGCTATCTTCAATTGATAACCTCCCTCAAATGAAAAAATTGTTTTCTCCAAAGGAGTCTCACTGGGTATACAAACCATACTTAATGACAGACCCCAGCAGTAGATGGACAACAAAATGAACTCAATGACATATTTTGAAGCTTGTTTTGTCTCACAGTGCTTTGTCTGAGCTTTTTTTCCCCATTGTGACTTCTGGGTTTGTGTTTTTGTGAGATCTCTGTGCACACGTGTGTGTGTGCCTGCATCTATATGTGTTCCTTGTGCTTTTTCTTTGGCTCTTTTCCCAGATTTGCTTGTTTTGCTCTATTGTGGTTTGTTTGTTTTTATTTTATAGTTTTTTAGATGCTCATTTCTTTTCTAATGAGAGCAAGAAAGGGTGTGGTTTGGGGGTGGGAGGAGGTAGGGGGGGGAGATACTGTAATCAGAATATATTGTATGAAAAATCCATTTTCAGTAAGAAAAAAATATTCCTCAGCCTTGACCCATTGAGCCATTTGGGCACAGGCTTGATCCATTTTAAGGAGAGGTCATTGTGAGCATGTGCATAAAGGAGAGGGGTACAAGGCTATCTGGGAACAGGCTCTTCTCATCTTTAGGATTACCCTCTGCGTAGCGAAATGGTGGTAGCCAAATCCATTGCTATTCATTGCTGGCATTTTAGAGCAGGAGGGAACAATGTATGCTATTGCTGTCAGTTCTTCTGTCCTATAGGTGAGGAAATGAACTGGAAGAATTTAAGTGAGGTATGCAAGACATCACAGCTGATTAATGGCTGTCCATGACTGAGTCCAGGTGGTTCCTCTCATTATTGGTCCATGGCCTTCCTGAAATTTATAGAATGTCCCAGAGACACTTGCTCCTAGCTTTTGCTAACAGGGATGCTCTGCTCTGAGATGGTTTTATTGCCATACCCTTCTCCACTCAGAATGCCCCGTCCCACGCTCGCAAGTTGTCTAATTGCAGCTAAGTGGGTCTGAGGACACTCTATTGTATCTATTACAATAATAATCTATTGTATTGGCTTACATCACCTTGAACTTGTTATCTTGATCACATCAATACTTTCCCCTGTTTATTCAGACTGTTCACAAATAGGAAGTCAAAGAAATACTTGCTCTCTGAACAAACAATCCAACTTTGAACTAAAATATCTTTGAAAGTTTTTCTGAAGCTTTAATTACTCCATTCCTTTGGTTTGGTATGTGCAGTCAGGGTCTCTCAATTTCCCCAAATATTTGAAAATATTTTGATATTCTGTGTCTTCTGGTATAATACAAAGCATCATTGAGGTAAATTAGTAGATTGCAGAACTCCGGTCCCTTGACCAGGAGCTATAGTTAAAAGAACAAAGCAAACTTTAGGGAAACCAGTAGAGCATAATCTCAGTTTAATGGAAAGTCTCTACTCCGATGACCACTCTTTTCAAATTACACTGTGGGCTTCAGCTACAAAGGCTGTGCAGCAATGTGTGACTCTGTTGGGAAATATGCATGTGGTACCTTAGCCACGCTGGAGGCCAGGGATCACAATGTGGGTTTCAGATGCAGTTGGCCACTGACGCTGGGTGGCAAGGACTTAAAACAAAAACAGGAAGAGCCCAGAGCACAGCAGTGGAAAATTTAGGTGGGTGGGTGTAGAGTGGAAAATGTACTCCCTCCGGCCACGGCCTATGTTCATTAGCAATGACCTTCCTTTGCTCTAGCCCTGTAAACTGATGTTGATAGTAAAGCTTCGAGAAAATCTGAATAAACCCTTCTGCCTTGTCAACCAAGGACAAAGATGAGACCGCCCAATTTAGTTAGACTGTGGCCAGAACCATGTATTTTTAATTGCAGCCATGGGCTCAAACTGTTCCGGATCTTAGGCCCATAGATTCAAGCAATTCAAGTCAGCATATGCTTCCACTCAACTGTGATGTCCATTTCCAAATGGTCATAAATATGTAGTATAAACACTAAGGTCGGGGGACATGAAATGGATGACAGCATAAACTAATAAGGCTCCAGAAACTGGTGTTCTTTACCCCAAATGGCATGGGAATGTTTGACTTTGTATCTTTTGTGTTGCATCCATATTTCTGGGAAAAATAATTTCTGCCTTCATTCCAGCTGTACAGTAGCTACTGGGGTGATCGGTTACAAGCGAAAGGAGCAAGACAAAACTCCAGCATACAAAGGGCAATGACAACCAGAAAGCAACAGCTCCATCCTGTCCTGGCCTTGAAAGGAATTGGATCCTAGGTGGTGACAACATTTCCAATCAATTGTCCTCTGTCGCCCTCTGCTGTTCTTCTGGAGAAGTTTCCCCTTACAACAATGAGAAATCATGTACTAGCTGCATCCATTTCTATGCTCTCCCTGCTGGCCATAATGGGAGATACAGACAGCAAAACAGACAGCTCCTTCCTGATGGACTCTCAACGCTGCATGAGACACCATTATGTCGATTCTATCAGTCACCCATTGTACAAGTGTAGCTCAAAGGTAAGATCAAGGTCGCTCCCAAGTCTTTGAGAAGATACCCCTTTCCCTCACTTACAGAAAAGAGGCCATAGTTCCTTGTCAGGTGGCGGAGAACTGTGACCAGAGCCCAAAGTGTAGCTCTATGACTGGCTTGTAAAACTCACAAGGGAATCTTTCTTTAGAGTTTTTCCACCATGTTTTGCAATACCATGACTGTAATGGAGCTTGTACATGCTGATCCTGTTGTTGGGTATCCTGTGTCCCTGACTGGGAAATTTATGAGCAATAATGTTTATTTTTCAATAAAGAAAAACAGTGATTAGAAATAGGGCTCAGTGGGTAAAGTGAGGACCTCAGTTTGGATCCCTAGCATCCATGTAAAAGAGCTGCCATGGTGGTACACACCTCTAATCTTAGGGATGAGGAAGCAGAAACAGGAGAACCTGTGGGGCATGCTGGCTAGTCAATCTAGTCCAGTAAATGAGCTCTAGATTCAGTAAGAGACTCTGTCCTTCAACCTCTAACCACCACAGTCATCTTTGTAAAAATGCACACATGTGCAGGAACATATATATACACACACACACACACACACACACACACACACACATGCACACATACATGCAAGAAGAAAGAAAAATGGAGCCTCCAAGTTATCATAATTCCTTCTACCTGCATCAACAACCAAAAGAAGGGGAAGAATTTGAATAAGATTTAACAGTGGAACACATTCTTGGAGGCTCCTCAAACAGTTTTCTGAACTACCCCAGAACAAGCTGTGTGGCCTAAACCTTCCTCCCTGTGCCACATTTATATTAAAATGACTCCAGAACTAAAGATGACAATTCAGTTTTTTATCATTTTATCTTGATTAGCAGTTTTGTCTTCTTTGCAGTGGGTAGAGTGTTTCTTGCACAAGTCATCTATGTCTCAGTGCTGAGAAGAGGTGCACAAAGTACTAACACCCTAAAAGACCACCAAGAGTGGCGGCCATGTAGACCACCCAGAAGGGAGGCACAACGTAGGATGGAACGAATTCCAAATTACAGTTCTCCTGACTATTGTTCCCTCAGCCACGCGCACTAAATGTGGCCACACTTAGTAAATAAGATTTTGTTTAGCTCTACCTCAAAGGATTCTCACTTTAGTCCTGAGACTAAAACAGCAGCAACAACAAAATCCATTGAAACCTTATCATATGTTAAGTATTTTTAAAATTACCCATATAATTAAGAATTTTCAAAGCAATATAAATCACTAGAATTAACCTCATAGAAATAAATCTCTCCACCCTCCATTTCAAACATGTCTGCGTTTCCATTTTCCATTACTTACATGATTGTAGACCTAGGAAGTTCCCTTATTTTAGTTTGAGGAGATAAGTGTTTGAAGGATCAAAATTTAAGTTAAATCAATTTCACCATTGTATTAATAAGACCTGGGACTGTAGGAAAAGCAATAGATATTTTTCCACTTAAGAAAATATCCTGGTTCTTATTTATACTTGAGGAACAAAACTGAAGAGAAACAATTAGATGGTGAGCAGAAAGTTTCCTTCTTGGAAATGGAGAGCAGGAGCTGGTGGAGCTGGTGGGGATTAGGGGGACACACTGGCTTAGGGTTCATTTCAGCACCACAGAAGCACAAAAAGCAGCAGCAACAACTAAAACAACTATGAGGAAAAGATAAGAGAAACATTTTTATAACCGTGATTGCTCAGAAATTACTTCAGAAGAGACAGCACTTGTGTTCACTGCTTGTTAGTTCATGGACGATTTCTTTCTTTGTTGAACTGTTCTTTATAATCATGTTTCTTTAAAAGGAGAGAAAAGGAATTCAAATTTAAGAAAGTGTCATTGTGATGAAAGGGAGGATAAAAGAAAATAGTGGCATCTACAAAAAGTTGAGAGTGGATGGCAGAGCTTGCCTAGCATGTTTGAGATCCTAGGTTCCATCCCAGAACCAAAAGAAAAGTTGAAAATAATCCAGAAGATTGGACAAAATGATTTGTGATAGATGGAAGACTATCTTAGCATGTTAACCTAAGAGAGGAAAGTTCAAGGAAGAAATGCCATTAACGCAAACTCACAGGATTTGAGCAGGACTCTTAGAAACAACTTTTAGTCAAATGTTGTTCAACTTTGCTTCTCCCAGAATGCCACCGTGCATAGCAGTGTAAAACTTGATAATAGAAAAAAATGTTTGTCATTTTATGGAAGCAATCTGTTTTCCAACTTCCCAAATGACCCCAAATATAGCAATGGTTTTATGTAAATGCTGCTTGTAATTATTAATCTTCCTTCCTTGGTCACAGAAATTTGAAACTCTGCCTGGCAGAGTTTCAGTTACCAGACCCTTTCTGGATTAAATTTTCTTTATGTATTCAGGAAGAAAATGATTTTCATTTGGAAATATTACATAGTTTTAAATTTTTACAGACTTAGGCTGATAGTCCCTCTAATGGGTCTTGTAGCATGAATAATAAAAACCCAAAGACAGAAATTGGGGTTCAATCTGAAAGTCAGAAAAACAAAGGAGCCAAGCCACCAGGGAAGTCTTACCTCTACCAAAGCTAGGTGACTGCAAAACTAAGCTTCTCTTTCATCCCATTTTCTATTCCCTTTAGTGCTGTGACTCCCTAGGACTGGGATTAAAGGTGTGCGCAACCACCACCTGGATCTGTTTCTGCATTGATCTTGTGTAGCCCAGGGTGGCCTTGAACTCACAGAGATCCTCTGTCTGGTCTCCAGAATACAGATGAAATCTATGTGTGGTCAAAGGAAAGGAATGTACTGCCTTGAACACCTAACCTGTGTCAGTCATTTCAATACACACACGCACACGCATATACACACACACTCAACACACACACACACATACACACACACACACACACACACACACACACACACACATATATATATATATATATATATATATATATATATATTCATTGCCAAGAGACCTGCCATGTAGGTATTATCATTCCCATGATGGAACAAAGAAAACTTGTGGTTTCTTGATGCCACATAATTTGGGAATGGCAGTATTTTCTTTGTAGAGTTCATTTTTCTGAACCTGGCTCCTCATATTGAAGAAATGCAGTAAGAATATAGGAGCTATTATTTAGAATTAAGATCTAGGTGCCTGCATAAATGTCATAGCTTACAATTTTTTTTCTAGGAAAAAAACGAAATAATGGGTAAATGTTTTCTGGACAACTTTTGTGGGACTCTCTGTTCACCATGGCCTTGATCTTGTATTTGCCCAGTTTTAGGTCCTGTCAACTTTCTCCTAACAATTCAGTAAAGAACTAAGATACACTCAGCAGAAAAGACTGACCTACCAAGAAAGACAGAGTAGCCACTGTTTAGATTATACCCAGTGTCTTTGTTTGTAATGATATCACATGGGATTTGGTCCAAAAGGGCCTGGAAGTGGCAAGCCATTTCCATTCTTCCTAAGAAATCACATTTCCCTGAAATTCTGCGGAAAGGTCATAAAGCAAACAAGCTTAGGATCTGCAGCCAGAAGAAATGGGCTGTCTGTAAAATGGTGACAGACACTGAGGCTTTACTCCAGTAGAGATCTGCTATTCAGTTCTTGATACACAGCTTTCCAAATGAGTGATTTCAGGAAGCCAAATCATTGTTTGGTGCCTCAGTTTCCTCCTCTGCAAAAAGAGCTACTTGCTCAAGGACGTGGCTATGTATGGCAGCGATGGTAATATTTGTAAAGCAACTAGCACAGAGCTTGCCATATAACAGACCTTTAATAAAGCTGTTATGATCCTGATGAAGAAGTTGTAAGCTAGACAGGTGTTTCAACCCACTCTTCTATTTCAGTCACTACTAAGACTTCCATAACTGTTGGGATCCCTGCAGTATTAAAGGATTAGGAATGTGAACTTCCCTATGACTCTGCTGGTTATGGGAGGGGTGGGGAAGAACAGAAGAGCAAAGTAAATATAAGCCCCTGTGCTGGGTGCTGAGAGAGAGGATGAAATAGAAGCAGACTACTGGCTACCTTCACAAGGGGAATGGAGGAGGTGCAACGGTGAGTTCTGATTCCTGACCAGCTTGTATTTCTGAGATCTTGGGTTGGAAACGTGAACTGGCTCCATGGGTGTTTGAAGCCCAAGTTGTTGAGAAGTAGGGGACGGTGGTCCAAGGTAATGGAGTAGAATCAGGTTCTAAGTGAGGGGTGAGGGGCAACCACTCTGGGCAAGATGAGACAGCAGACTGTGAGGAAAGAAGGAGCTGAGTTGAGGAGACCAAGGTTGTAAACATTCCGAGAGAGAAGGTTTTTCATGTCAAGGACTGAGCTGCAGGATTGGGAAAGAGCTGGTAGAATCCCCAAACCCTATTCTGTTGCTGCCCATGAAGTTCATAGGAAAATGTATTGGAGTTAGAGATACGGAGTTTATAATATAATTGATCACCTGAGACATGTGGCATAATTTTTAAAATAAAAAATTTATTTATTTATTTATTTAATATCTGCCAGCATGCCAGAAGAGGGCACTAGATCTCATTACAGATGGTTGTGAGCCACCATGTGGTTGATGGGAATTGAACTCAGGACCTCTGGAAGAGCAGGCAATGCTCTTAACAGCTGAGCCATCTCTCTAGCCCCTAAAATAAGAAATTTATACTGATGGCTACTGTGTGCAGGCATCATCAAAGTTGTTAAAGACAAAAACAATAGGAGAAGAAGACAAACAAATATTTACCCCTCATAATGCTTCAAGAGGATATAGGAAAAGGAAGTGTTCGCGATGCAAATGCCTCTTCACATCTGTTTGATTTTTGGCTTGTGTGACAGTAACAGACAGCAGTTGGAGTGATGTGAGTTCCCATCCAAATCTTCAAGTCTCACCCCTATGCTACTTTGTTCCCCTGGTTGTCATTTTGTTGCTGATCTCAGCTGGCACAGGTGACCCTTTAAATATTGACCTGAGTTCCCAGAGATGAGCTGAACAGTCCTGTCTTGATGTCGCAGGTAAAGGAAGGTGTGGGAAAGTGACATTGATGGATCTTGTTCCTGGTATATATATATTGAGATCATCTGAAAGAAAGACATACTTAACTCAAAGTCATGAAACATATTTAGAAAGTTAAAATAATAGAAAAGAATGTTTCTGGACATGTTCAGTTCTCATTATAAAGGTGAATTTACTCTCCTTCCTCTGTCCCTCCCTTGCCCTCTCTACCTCTTTGTGTGTGTGTGTGTGTGTGTGTAATAAGGAGGCTGCTTGTTGGTTCCTGGCTGCTTAGCCTGAAATAATCACACAGAAACTGTATTAATTAAACCACTGCTTGGCCCATTAGCCCTAGCTTCTTATTGACTAACTCTTATAATTTAAGCCATTTCTATCAACCTGTATATCGCCATGTGGCTTATCGGCTAAAGTTCTATCTGGCTCCCACAGGGATACATGGCTTCTCTCTGACTCCACCCTTCTATTCCTGAGTATTCAGTTTAGTTTTCCCCGCCTAGCTCTGCTCTGCCCCGCCCTGCTCTGTTATAGGCTCAAAGCAGTTCTTTATTCATCAATGGTAATCACAGCATACAGAGGGAAATCCCACATCGTGTGTGTGTGTGTGTGTGTGTGTGTGTGTGTGTGTGTGTGTGTGTGTGCATGTGTGTGTACTGAGAACACCAAAAAAAAACCACTAATTGTTTCAGTGTTTGGAAGAGGAGACCCACCGACAAGATATAGGAAGGTTTTCATTAGACAAAGCCAAGTAAAAATGACGTCCCTGGGAGAGTAAAGACATGCACAAAGGCAGGAGGAAGGAAAACTAAGGGCAGTCCCATGGGCTCTTAAGTAGTTAAGTTCGACTTTAACTGGAGCAGGGAGCAGATGATGAGAACAGCTATAAGACAAAAAGTACTTGACATGTGGGACAGTCACGGTAGGTACTGACTGTATATCTCTGTTTATTCATCTTGTGTAGAAACAGTACATGAGAAATAGGGACTAGGCCCACTGAAGGTGGACCTAGGTCCTTCCATCCTAGAGATCTGGTCCTTCACGGTAGACTGGGCATGAAGCATGATATCCTAAAACTTTTAGTTTAATCACAATTAAGGTAGCTTATCTTCAAGTTACCCTGTATTGCAGACTTGACTATTTTATGGACAGCTAATATCATGTTCAGTTAGGGCCATATTTGACTCACCATGTATGTCTTACTGGGATATCCCGTGCTGTCTTTGACCTTTTGTAATTATTCTTGTTGGAACAGGTTTGTTTTATCCACCTGGATCTATAAAGACTTTACTTTGGAAAGTGGCAGAATGATTGCTTTACTCTCCAATAGGTAATCTGGATTAGATAGCAGCAAATTTTATGCTGTTTCAGTGTGTGAAGCAAGTTTCCCCATGTACTGGCAGATACAAGGAGAAGGAACTGGGGAAGTTCTAGGACTCTCAGAGAAATGGGGTAGACACCAGAGATGGGCCAGATATGGTTTATCTACAGCATAATCCTCTCAAACCTGGTTGGGATGATGTTTATCTTGCCTGTCAATTTGAAGAACAGACAGAATACCAATATAAACTTTAATAGAATCAAAACAGCTTAATGTAGCCATTTTCTTTCTGCCTTTGTGACCTTGCAAAGAAAGTAATGTTAGACCAATTGAATTTATTCCTCCCTTAGTCCTGCTAGCTTTTTCTGCTACTATCTCATAGTTCCTTCATGTGTGCGAATTAATTGTTGACATTTCTCCCAGTATTTCCTCAGATAATGATGTTAGTAATCTTTAACTATCAGTTTAATTTTGCCCCATAGGATGATGTCAGAAGTCATCTATAGTGAGTCTTTAATATTAACTGCTAATTACCAAAATATTATAAGGTTCTGTATCACCAGGGATCAAGCTGCCTTGGTCCATCTCACTCATGCCTCCCATCCCTTGTATTCAAAGATCATTGAACTCTATGAGCTGTCATTTATCTTTGTGGGGCAAACTCCTGTCTTAACGCACATTCAAAACACCTTTTCTTTGGGCTTAGCTCAAACTTTTTGGGAAAGCAGAGCAAATGAGTCTATCTGCCTACTGTTATAATTTAAACTAAGTGTGATCAGAAGAGTTCTTGCACATCCACTCACTGTCTTTGACCTGGACATGCCAAGGAATGTGGTCAGCATTTTTCCTTCTTGAACTATGACCTTAAAGCAGACATGTTTGGGAATCTGTTCCTTATGCTCAGTGTTATCAGGAATATGCCCACATCTAAAGTACTTTCCAGTGTGAATACACATAGGCTCCCATAAGAAACCTCCAGACTTCCTTTGTTTGGGAAGGTCATTACTTCAGAAATTTCCTCCTGAGTTCCTTACTTCTACTCAAAAAAAAAAAAAGAATCAAAGGAACCTTTTGGCCATCTCCTTAAGCTGTATGCAAAATGGTGAGTATGTACATTTTCCTGAGGGTAATTTTTAAACAGTTTTTCATTTTTAGATTCATTTATTTTTCCTTTATGTGTATGTGTGTGCCTGCTTACCTGTATGTACATCTTCTCAGGTGTCTGAAAAGATCAGATGTTGGACCTCTCTGGAACTGGAGTTACAGGCTGTTGTGAACCATGTGGTATAGATTCTGGGAATAAATCCAGATCATCTGTAAGACTAGCAAGTGGTCTTGACCATGTAATCAGCTCTCCATCCCTTTAGTTAATCTTAATAGAGTCTTACTATAAAGAACACACAAGCTCTGACACAGCAGCCCAAACCTCTGGAAATGGAGAGGGTCAGGGTAAATTTTCTCTAAATAATTCTGAAGATGCTGACATAAACTGTATAAATGACAGGTACCTCTTTAGGTACAACCTCAGGTATAAACTCTCAGACCCGGAAATGTATCCTGTCTCTACTTCACTTTCTTCTTCTAAGTTACACCTAGAATATTTCTTCCAAAGCAACACTTAGATAAGTCCTTTTTCTTCTGCAGAGACTACATTCCTTCTGTTTCGTTATTTCCCATTGAACCCCCAATTCCATCATTCTCTGTTTGAGCCTGGATTTCAATATGAAGTGACTTTCTGCTTGTTGGTGGTGGGAGAACTGCAGTACTTTTGGGCAGTGGTAGTCCTCCATCCATCAGGAGAAACTCATTTTGTACTCAGATGTTTATTTGGCTTTGGTTTTGGAGGCAAGATATTTGAACTCATTTATGTACTTGAAGATGACTCCTGATACTTCTGCCTCTACTAAATGCTGAGATTACAGGTATGTGTCACCATCCCTGGTTCATATGGTCCTAGAGACTGAACCCAGACATGTGGGTGCACTAGGCAAGCGCTCTATCACCTGAAGTACATCACCAGGCCCGCTCCTGGATTTTTTTTATTCACACCATAGTGGTACATCTTCTTAATTGATTCTAAACCATCACTGCACTTCAGTCACCAAAGGAATCTTGAAAATCATGAAAGCTTGGGCCTTACTATACGAGTTAAATTCAAAATCGTTTCAGATGGGGTAGTGTTGAATGATTTCCTACCAACCTCCAGGTGCTGGGGATTGAACCTAGAGCCTTGTGCATGCTAAGCAAGTCCTCTTCTGCTGAGCCACAATACCTTAAATACATATTTTAGGTTTACCAATAGATTCTGAGTTGCACCCACTGGTCTGACCCAGCAGGAATTGGACAGGAGTGTTAGAGCCTTTCAAAGGATGCTGTGGTAACTTGAGATTTAGGCACCTGCACGTAGTAATCACCTCCCGTTATTTCTCCAGATGGTGCTCCTGGCCAGATGTGAAGGGCACTGCAGCCAGGCATCACGCTCTGAGCCGTTGGTGTCCTTCAGCACTGTCCTCAAGCAACCTTTCCGTTCCTCCTGTCACTGCTGTCGACCTCAGACCTCCAAGCTGAAGGCTTTGCGTCTGCGCTGCTCAGGGGGCATGCGACTCACCGCCACTTACCGGTACATCCTCTCCTGTCACTGCGAGGAATGCAGCTCCTAAGGCTTGCTGCTGAGTGAGTGGCTTTCTGGCTGGGACAACCATAGGAGCAGTTCAACCAGCCAGAGGAGGACTGGCAAGAAAAGAGTTAAGGCAGATAAAGATGGAGCGAGTCCCACAGGATTGTGCATATTCTAGTCCTAAAGACTCAATGTGCTTTCAATGGAGAGTGACTCTGGGAACTCGACTTTCATTGCCATCTCCTTTCCCTGAAGGAATTTCTTTGGTTACTTTTCAGATTCAGGCATTCCCCCTGTTGGCTCTGAATGTGGTTTGGGTTTCTGACAATTCTGCATTAGTGAGAAAATGTGGGGCCCTGTGCAAGAGTGTGTCAGGCTGTCCCTAGTTGGTGCATATTAGGGAAGAATTTGCCCAACTCTTCTTAGGAGATCTTCGGTTGTTTTTCACCTTGTCGTTTTGGTCTAAGAGTCTCCGAAGGTTACTGGTTTCAAGTTCCGGACAGCAAGTCCGTGGATATGTTTAGTGAGGTTTATTCACAGCTTGCTGATACTAAAATAACTAATACACGGGTTCTTTCATGTGACTATGGAACTCCTGACAGCTATAATTCTTCATAAATGACTTCGGGGCTATAAAGGTGGCATAAGGAATTTATTTTCTGGAGGCCTTTGCAGGTAAATGTTGCTAAACTTTTGTAAGGAGGTAGATGTTCAAAGACACACACACACACACACACGGATGGATACAGTACTGACTCTGGAGAAGGCATAAATTACTAGTGGCATGGGAATACGTCATACTCATAACTGAGAATTAGTCAAGCAAGTAGGAATCTATTCGTGGGTATTCAAAAGCTTCAGTCATGTCTTAAGCATCATTCTCTAGCATCTACCTGTCTACGTGAGGCTGTCTAGTGGTGGACTAGCTTATCCTCTGAAAATTTTGTTCCAATATATTTTTGGTCATTGAGGCTCAAATTTTGAATTATCCCAATGTTTTGAAATAAAAATAGAGTACCTTCAAATTTGGGCTGCATAGGTATTGTTATTTCTTCTTCTTCCTCCTCCTCCTCTTCTAGTCTTCGGTGATGTGGATATAAGATCCATGTAACTACTGTTTGGAAATCTCCGAGGATATGATAGAAGTAAGAACAATTAGAAGGAAATTGAGTCTCAGGACGCATGATGGGAACTTAAAATAAAAAAAAAATCAGTATACTGTGGTGCGTAAACTTGGCTGCAGGTCTCAAATTTTAGTACAAAATATGATGTGTTGTGGCTTCCTTAGGTATTATTGTGCAAAATAGCCATGACACATCCCTTTTGATCTCTTCATTTTTCTCAGGAAAGATTGGGTGCCCATAAGTCAGGCCAAGAGAAGCAGCAGGACAAAGTTCACAAACAACACTGTTGCTCTGTGCTCCAAACCTAATGATACTACTTTGATCTTCCTCAGCACTGCAGGAAGTGTGACACTGGCATGCATTATATATACTACAGGCACCTCAATGTGAACGCCAACATGAAAATTTAGTTTCCAGAACAACCCTAATACCACACTGTCTTGACTAACCAGGAGTGACAGCACTCCCCACTGTTAACACAGCTATCCCGTGAATTATTTTTCCTGCAGAGATGGTGGTTTTCTTCTCTCTTTGGTACTACTTCCACACAATTTTGTGAAAGCCAGTGGGATTAAATTTTTATTCATGGCTTTGAAACAGAATTTTTTAAAAAGAAACTTTAACTTGATTTAAACCTTTATGGTGATAGAGTTAGCAAATTCACTGAATTGGAAGATGTCCTTATCCTGAAAGCAAATTTAAATCGGCAATTTGGACCATTATATGAAGAGAAAAACTGTCATGTGAAAAACTAAATTTAACACTGAAAGTTAAGTGGGTATCTAAACCCCTCCCTTGGTTTGAGATAAGTTCTTGCTATGTTTCCCATGCTGGCCAGGAATATTATACACTCCTGTCTACCCAGCTAAATAGTTATAATTCATACCGGATAATGAAAGAATGCTGGCCAGACCTAGGGATTTCTTTCCTGTTTGCCAATCAGAAGTATAAACAGTCCTGGAGAGATGGCTCAGCGTTTGCTGTCCTTTCAGAGGCCTGGTGTTTGGATCTCAGCACTCGTATAAGGTGGCTTACAAATGCCTGTAACTTCAGCTCTAAAGAATTCAATTTCCCCTTCTGGCTTCCCTGAACAACCGTGAATAAGCAGATACACAGACAGACAAATAAAAATAAAATAAATATTTTTTAAGTAGAAATAGTAAAATGTCTCTTCTTGGCTTTGAAATGTCATTTGCCTTTGAGCCTCTATAATATAACCCCCAAAGTCCAGTCTTTATTTGCTTCTTAAGTATATATGACTGTAGCAGAAAGGTGTTATATAACTCTTATCTTCTAAACCATCCAGAAGCTATGGAAAGGGACAGGTTCATATCCCATTACAGGACCTACCGTTAAATCTTCCTGCATAATAACCAGAAAATACTTGAAGCATTTGAGGACCTTTAATAAGAAGTCATCATCTTCTTCAATTATATGGACAAAAAGATGCCTGCAAAAGCTCAGGGACTTGATTTGGAACTGGAGACCAAATTTCCTGCTCACCACGGCCACGAAACGAATGCTTCCCTTCCCTTCACTAGGCAAAAGCACCCTGCTTTTTTTTTGAGATCTTGCATGCTTGAGTAGAATGGAGAAGCTGGAAAAGAGTATGGGGAGACTATGTGAAGTTTAATGGCAACATACCAAAGCTGAGAAAGAAAGAAAAAAATAATTATATTTTCCCCTAAAGACTTTAAAATAGCCCTGGGAACCCAGAGAATTAAGATATTATTGGGTATTAAGTTACTATGGAATTTGTAAATCTTTATGAAATCTTTTAAAAAATTAAACATATTTAGCTCTATTTTAGTGTTTACCCCTAAGGATGGTGAACGAACCAAATGAAAACATTGATCAATTAGGAACATTATTTCTGGAATGCCTAAGGAATGTTCACTTGCCTTCTCCATTTACCATGCATGAAAAAAGGAAATTAAAATGTGTTACAATTTTTACAGCTTGCATCTTAGAACTCTATATGTTAAGTAATAGTACTGGAGAAAAAGATTCCTGTAAATTGATCCAACTCTCATCATTTATGAGCATTTAATAATAAAAAGCTGCTGTTGCAACAGAAAAGACATGGCTTTATGAACTAATATGATTTTCTTCACATCCTGGCTTCCCAGAACTATTTCTTACGTCTTATGTGTATAGTAAGCTCTTGAACATTTTCCAAAAGTTTAGAATGAAGGACAAGTCAACCTTTCTTTATTCTGATGAAATTATTGTTTAATTTCTCTTAAATTCAGGTACTTACTAAACTACCCAGTACATTAGTTTATTGTTATTTATAGCAGGCTGTGTATGCATTTGGGTCAGGGGACTGTAAGAGTAAGTATATTTCTTCACCATGACCTAGGAGAGATTAAAATATGGATTTACTTTTGGTTACTGCCTCGGGCTCCACTGAGGCACAGCCCTTGAGCGCGCGAGCTTCCTACTACAGAATGTCAAGTGTGTTGACACCAGAAGACATGACGATGATGGAGAATTAGGTCAGAGAAGGAAGCATATCCTGCTGCTGGTGTCTTCTTCGTGACTCTAGAGTAAAATTTATCCTGGTGGACACATGCACTTGCTCCTTTTAGCATTAGAACACTGGAACACCTTGGGGCTTAGAAGAGTTTTACATGCAACTGTATGGAAACACCCAAAGAAGAATTTTTTGCTTAGTAATGCCTGTGTCCATACTACAAGTAGATACCCAGATCCACTTAGTGAAAGAGGGCACGTCATAAAAAGATAACATAACATACCAAAATGTCTATGTTAGAGTCCCCTGTCTTTCTTAAAGTCAGATTACATAAATAAAATGCTTTAGTCTACTCTACTCTAAATATACAAGAGCTCAGGTATTTTCTTGAATTCTATGGCAAATACAATTTGAAATTTCTTGTTAAGATCATTGTGTATTCTCAAGGATCAACTCCATTATTCTAGGGAAACAGAACATTCAAAATTGAATAACTATAGTAAACATAAAAATGCACCTACCAGGTTAACCTTCAAGGAAGGATTTGTTACCTCACTTGTTTCTTTAAGGGGACTTCTCATCTTCAGAGACACCTTTCCCAAGGGTATGCTCTTGAAAAGGAATACATTTATATCCAATGCCTAATAGAGGCCTGCGTCTGTCAGTTCAGTGAAGGACAACTCTTATGAATGGTCCTGGCTCCAGACCTGTCCACAGAGTTCCCTTTGTACTCACAGGTCCTTCTCTATGCAGGAGTGCTTATCCTAATAAGTAGCAGCCCCATAAACTCCATCAGTAGCATTCTTACCTATAAATGAATCAAACCCATCTAGTCTCATTTGGTGACTCATGATATTCAAAATAGTAATTTGAGCTGAGTGTTGTGCCATACACATAATCCCAGGGCTTAAAGGTTAGGGTAGGAGGATTTTGAACTGGAGGCCAATATGAACCACATAACAAGTTCAAAGCTAGCCTGGACTACATAGAAAGACCTTGTCTCAAAAAAAATGAGTCTTCTGGTATTGTTGTGCCCAGATTACGACTCCCAGAAAGAGACCATCAGAGAGGCCCAGACTGTAATAAGCAAGGTTTAATCAGCATAATACAAACACATTTGGAGCTCATCTCCATCCCTATCCCCATTACAATAAGGTAGAGAGGAGTTGTATCTCCTCTGTGGGGTAAGCTTTTCAAGGCATAACTACAAAGACAATCTTTGAAGATGCTTTGGCATGGGTATAAGGACTTTTGCTCCCTCCCATTCTGTTAAGTCAGCTTTCCCCTTGTTCTTAGAGCAAGGCCACTGTTCTTGAGTTAGGCCATCTTTATCAGCCTGTACCAGGTGTCTGGCTGGGCTGAGCTAAAAGACCTTGTGTTTGGAATGTCCTGGGTCAGAGAGGGGAAGGCCACTATCTTCCTGGGAAAACATCTGCTAGGAAA